ATTCAAAAAGAGTCATGTACCACAATGTTCACTGCAGCATGTGTTCTTTAAAGAAGGAAGAAATTGCTGCGGGGGTCAGAAGAAAGTCACTGGCAGCCCTTGAACTTACTGATGCTAGTCAGACCTCCTGTTCCAGATAGATCAACAACGTCCAGAAATGCAATGTCTCAGTGTGACTGTTATAGCAGTGTCCTGGCTTCACTGAGATGTCTTCTCTCCCAGAGGTCATTTTACCATTGGTCATTTAACCGTTTCCCCTGATGCTGACATTCCTAAATTAGTAGGGAAAATGAACGACAGATGTTCCAGATTGAAGCCCAGGCTTTGGAAGGTCACAACTAAGAAAGCATCGATAGCCAATTCTGGTCTCATTTAGTAACATCTCTAATCATGATACAGTGCTGGAGGATGCCAAGAAGGAAAGGGGACCAGATTTATGTGAGTTTGCTGAGGTTGAAAGAGCAATGTCTTCTACCTAGTCCTGGGGTTGAGGTTAGGGAGTGACAGGGTACTACTTTCGAAGATCGTGAAATATATATTGATTTGCCATAGGTAGAGAAAAATTTAAAGCTTCAAATATGTGACATTACTGGATTTATTTTCTCCCCACCTCTTGAAAAGAAACTTTTGCAGAGACAAGATCGAGTGATTTTGAACACTACTGCATTTCCAAGTTAGATTCCTAGACCTTTGTGGCAAAATAAAAAACTGTACGGGCTTCCCTGGTGGCACAGTGGTTAAAAATCTGCCTGCCAATGCAGGGGACACGGGTTCGATCCCTGGTCCGGGAAGATCCCACCTGCTGTGGAGCAGCTAAGGCTGTGCGCCACAACTACTGAAGCCCGCGTGCCTAGAGCCCATGCTCCGGAACAAGAGAAGCCACCACAATGAGAAGCACGCGCACCGCAACAAAGAGTAGCCCCCCGCTCGCCGCAACTAGAGAAAGCCCACGCGCAGCAACGAAGACCCAACGCATGGTACTTCCCTGGCGGTCCAGTGGTTAAGACTCTGCGCTTCCAATGCAGGGGGTGGGTTCGATCCCTGGTCAGGGAACTAAGATCTCACATGCTGCGCAGTGGAGCCAAACAAACAAACAAACAAGACCCAACTCAGCCAAAAATATATAAATAAATGAATTTTAAAAAAAAAACTGTAGAATGAGAGGAATGAGGAGACTGTTGTTCTGATTATAGCTTAGCTTCTATCCAGTTGAGAGAATCCAGTAAACTTTCCAGGTCAGTTAAAAAGAGGGGCTTGGCTAATTAGTTGACCTCAAGGGCCCTTGCACCTCTTAAATTCATTGCTAATATAAACACAGCACTCTGTCTCTGATAGGTTACCACATTTAGTATCTCCTACACTACACAGGTAAATTTTAGACCAAGGTCCCAATGTAGTATTGTCTTCATTTTTCTGTTATATTAAGATGATCTGTAAGTCCCTGAATTACTATATAGATATCTCATTGTACTTTGTAAACGTTCTGTATGGCTCCAAAAATGCATCTGAGGCCAAAAAAAAATGTATTGTCTTTCAAACCACTTACACGTGTAGTGTTTAAAATGGAAAATGCAGTTGTATGGAAATACATTTCTCTCCAGATTGTAATAAAAGGTTTATGTGATCAATTAACAGTGCGTTTACTGCCCTCTGCTGCCCTAAGCAGAACACTGGCTTTGGAAAGCCTAGTCTTACATCTGACTGGGGAAGGCCAGATTTTCTTTTACGGTCATTATTATTAATGCTTGCTGGCATATTCCAAATGTAACACTATCTGACTTAGAAAACCCCAACAATGAAGTAGCCCATGGCCTGAAACCAAATAAGCACTACGTTCTTGTGATTCAGATTTTTCTAAAGTCTTCTGGGGTTTTATTAAGTTCTAGGTGTTCTTTCTACAAGATCACTAATATGTGGAAGTAGCTGTTTATTTAGAAGTTGATTACAGGGTGATTTTTAAAAAAAAAAATCAGTTATCTTTTAAAACATGAAAAATTAGTAGAAATGGCAACAAAACTGATGAAAACCTTAGATGAAAACCTTCCTTCTTAAAAAGTAGAGTGAAGCTTAATAGAATTGCTTTGTGGGAATGTTCTATTGTTTCCATTTAATATTGGGTGCTTACCATAAGAAAAAGATTGAGTGCTTTTATAGTTTCAATTATATCTTTGTCTACTTTTTTTTTTTTTTTTTGCGGTAGGCAGGCCTCTCACTGCCGTGGCCTCTCCTGCCGCGGAGCACACGCTCCGGACGCGCAGGCCCAGCGGCCATGGCCCACGGGCCCAGCCGCGCCGCAGGACGCGGGACCTTCCCAGACCGGGGCACGAACCCATGTCCCCCGCATCAGCAGGCGGACTCCCAACCACTGCGCCACCAGGGAAGCCCTCTTTGTCTACTTTTAATTAACAATATTAGGTGCCATTTCTGTTCATTCTTTAGGACTTCTATTTAATAATGATAGCAAAGGATAATAACTGACATTCGTGAGGCTTCCTGGAGAGGTACCTGTAAATTGTATTCATTACTCACCTAGCAGAAGCTTCTACCTGAAATCTATTTTACTCCTGAGTTATAAATTATCAACTGCTTTCATTCACTTAACAATTATATGTCAAATGCCTACCATGTACCAGGCACAGACTCTTGGATGAGTAAACTGAATTTCTAACCTAAGGTGCTCAACGATTTAGTGAGAGCAAAGTGTAGATAAACAGATGTATTACTGAGAAATTTCCACAGATTGTGCTTCCGTTTGTGCCAATCTAGAGTTCTAGTAGTTTGATTATTTCATTTGATTATTTATTGATTATTTCAGGATCCAGGGCACTAGTGACTAATTCTGTCCTGTAGTATTCCTTAATACTCACTAAGAAAAACAGGAATAGGTTTTGCAGCTTTTTTTTTCTCCACTGTATACTTTTTAATAACTTGATACCTCCCTTGGACAAGATGCATGCGTGCATCTACCCTAACTCACCAATCACAAATGTGTTTGTAAATAATAAAAAGATAAATATACTTCCAAATGCAGATAACCTTATTTTACTGTTATAAGTTGAGAGGAGTTGTAATAGAAAACCGACCATGCTATATCCAATTACTGCCGAAACAGAGAGCTACAGATCCAACATTCCAGAACCAAGGTGAGTGACTTTGGTAAATGATTCTGTCATTTAACTGGCTAGGAGTCAATAAACCTATTTAGCAAGTTAGTTTATTTGGTTACCAAGAGTGTGTTTTGAAAACACAAGGAATACTCGAGGGGCTTTACTTGAATCCTCAAATGCCATATAAGGAATACTCGGGAAGTTATTGCTCAGTGTTAAATGCTTCGATAAAGCTTTCCATTTTGTTATGGTTAAGGTAGGCATTTAGTTATATTTGCTCCAAAGGGTTTCCAGGATTAAGTCGAGGAGCTCATACTGTAAGATGTGCAGTGGGGGGCCTTTGTTGCCTTTCCATATATATGAGCTCTGAATGAAAACCCTAAACTTCTTCAGAATCTTAGCCAAGCCCAGCCTGTCTCCACTGGCCACCTCCATCTTCCAATGTGGAAGCAGAGTGGCCTTCTATTTGGGCAACTTCTTTCAGTCTCCTCCATCCTACAGCCAACATGGTTCTTCAGCTAGCTGCATCACAGGAACATGGCAGGAAGTGTAACATCTAACTACTGTCCATTGGCACTTACCAAAAATTTGGTTGATGCAAACCAGTCTAAACTAAGGAATATTTTAAGAACAAGTTCCGTAAAATTTAATTTTTTTTTATACAAATAAACATTGTGAAATTTTAGGGGGCAATAATGAATCATCCCCTTCTCTCCCTTTTAATTTTGGAAACAATTAAGAAACAGGCCAGAGTTAGACAGATGGAGCCAAAAAAAGAAAAAGAAAAATCAGCTTTATTATTAGTAAAGTTGGCCTGGAGAACATGGTTTGATCTATGACCACATCGGGCTTTCTACAGGTTCCCTTCATCTTGGAAGCATTTGCAAGTGCAAAGAAAACTGTTCTACCTAGAAGCGTTATAGGTACTCTATACCTCCTTGCAATAAATGAATGAATGAAGCAGTCAATCAAAAGTTACTTCTGCTTTCCTCAGAGGAAGATCAACATAAATTCCACAGTACATGGAATCTTTTCATTTGTTTTGACCCTCGATGACCCTTTGCCTCTTCGGACTTGCCGGCTATTAGCATGACACTCTCAGAGGTGGCAGAAAGCTGGAGTGGCTTTCAGACTGAGCACTTATGGTGCCAGTAAGAGGTCCCTTCAGCACCTTTTCCTCTTCCTCCTCTTCCTTCATCTTAAAATACAACATGTTATTTTCTGGTGGGAAGGTAGATATATTTGATTTCTGAGATTGGTTCAGTGCCTTAGACCAGCTGTTTTGGCTCAAGTATGATTAATTTAAACACCAGCTCCTGTTTAGTAACTTACTCTAATCAATCAACAGGTATTTATTATGTGCCTTTTAAGCAGAAAACAAAGAAAAATGCAAAACAAACCTATGACTTCAGAACATGGAGCCAGATCCAGCTGATGGTTATGTTATGCCAGTGTTTTCAAGACAGCAGAGGACCGAAATGCCTATCTCAAGAGTTCTAGCCTTAGAGTAGCCCTCACATAGTCCACCTTCCTTTTAGGTTTTAACTTTAAATTATCAGTTTTACTCACAATAAAGGTGGACAGGACAATGTGACTTGGACCTGAGACTAAAGTAGCACTTCCTTTTAGGGAACTAACATTTATTAAGTTAGGCTAAAATAGCACTTCCTGTAGGGAGTTAAGATTTATTAAATTAAAGTTGATTGGCCTCTGGTGATGGGCCTCCTGACTCACCCGTTCACAGACAAGAAAGCTGGCAAGAAGATCAGAAGCCTAGCTGACCCTACCTGGGGAAAGTTTGCTTACTTCCTGGATCTTGAAGCACAGGTGAACCCACTGCCCATGAGCACAGCCCGTCCAAACCAGTAAGAGAAAAGATTGGCTGTCACTTACTTTTCAATTCAATGACCAGAGTCCTTGGAAAAATCATGGCTCGGTGGCTTTCAGGCTCTTCACCAATCACATTAGCTCGTCTTCCCAGGAGAAAAGTGACAGGAGACATCCAGAAGCGTTATATTGTCCCATCTGTGAAGGGAATGGAATTTCCCTCTTTTGAAAAAGAATGAAAAGGGGAATAAAATTCTCCCCAACACCAAAGTTTTCTACAGGGGTAGACCTCACAGGGCAGTCCCAGCGACCGTCATGGTGCTCTGCAGGTTGTCCTGAACACAACTGCAGGCTTTCCTGTAGAACTCTATTTAATCTCTGCAGAAATTCTGATGTAAGAACTATCTTAACTTCTGATTGAGACCCTCATCAGAACATAAAAGAAGACAGAATAATATTTACCATACATAAAGAAAGAGATTTGAGCCTACAAGCAGAATCTGATCTCATTTTTCCCATTTGGGAAAATAAACCATTTTTAATATATTTTTTCTTCCCTCCCCTCCTCCCAAAATGCAGGAGCTAATTTGTCTGAAGTAACCCATAAGGAAGCCTAGCAAATCTGCCTCTTGTGTTTGATTCCAATTTCTTTCCATCACTGTAGCATTCTTCTCCTCGGATTGTTGTCAGGTTTAAAGAGGTATCATAGTTGAAAATGTTTCGCTCATTGCCTAACATTTTAAGTCACATATCTCTGGGTTTGGATCCTGGCTCTCTCATATACTAGCTCTGTGACCTTGGAGAAGCCACTACAATCTCTCTGAGGCTGAGTTTATTTTTCATCACAGGGCAAGTGCTTATTAATTTTAGTGCCTTTCCTTTGAACGTTAGAAATGAATTAGATATCGTAGAATTAGAAATATATATTTTGTAGGCTGGTTATCCCTGCCAGCCTCCTGCTTTGTCTTCCCATCCACACCACTTTTCTGCAGGCAGCAAATGCAGTGGAAAATATTTGAACTTTTGAATGAGATCGTCATGGGTTTGAATTTCTGTTCTGCCGTTCATTAGCTGTGTGACTATGGGTAAATCATCCGAAAGGTCTCATTTTTTTACTGTGCTAAAAAATGTTATCACAATGAGAAGAGAGACCTATATTCAGACTCATATCTGAAAGAAGAGAATTATAGAACATCAACTATCAGACTTTTTTCTGCGTTTTAGAAAGTAGTTTATATATTAGAGAAGTTTCATGTCTTTAATGATTCATTCACTTGTCAGGCATACCTGTGCACTGTTCGTGCAAACGCACACACTACACTCACACAGAGGTCAGCTTCCTTCCTGGGTGGTGCCGACTTCTTTGGGAAAGCCACAGCTTGGTGCCAGTGATAACTGGCAATTTCTGTTACTGTGATGAGTGAGGATGGGTTAATCCCTATGCCTGTCAGGTTTGGCCAACCACCAAAAAATTTCCCTTCATCAAGTGTAAGTGTGTGTCCTGCCAAGTACTTTCCACTTACTTTTTAAGCTTCATGTTTTTCATTGGAAACTTAATGCATGTGTGCTGAGTTATTTGCTGAACTCAGAATATTACTGGGCAAATGCCAGTCTGTATCCAAAAAATTCCCTCCTCACAAAAGAACCCACGGTAAATATCCACATTTTTCCTTCCTTCTTTTCTTTTATTTTTTTAAACAAAATTTTAAATTTTAATTAGGATCAGAACTAAAAGAAGCCTAGTTTGGTCCTGAAGTTACATAAAAGTTATATTGATTACACCCATCACTAGTCTCTGAACATACAAGCTAAAAGAACCACATCAAAATAAGCAATCTGCCATCACTCAGACAAAATATAAGTTCTGTATTGACCTATTTTCAGATTCCTCTCTCTTCACACTAAGGGGAATCAGGTATTAAGGCTCCCATTTTATAGCTGAGGACATTGCCTTAGCTATAAAATCAACAACTTGCTTATCTTGGTCACCTGATCTACATTGTGGAAAGGAAATTTGAGAATGAGAGTTAAACACAGCTGAGAGTTAAACTCAGATAATTATTACATTTGATCTAGAAAAGAGGCATTTTGCAATACCTTCAGTGGGAGAATACATTTTAGCACCCAAAGGGAATTGTAGCAGCAGCCTGTATGCAGCTTTCCTCAGTGGGATGAGATGGGAGATGCTCACAAAGGCGCTATATCATCAGGTTTCTCATGCACTAGAGATGCCATATTTAGGCACAGAGGTGGACTTCTTTAGAGCCACGTTGTATAACAGATCCTCTCGTTATGAATATTCAGTCCATCCATAACTCCCTTGCCTATCCTTGGCCACTGGCCCAGCAAACGCCCAGCTCCAGAAGATTGTGTAAAACAGAGGACCTCTTGCCAGATTAGGCTTGAATTCCCTTACAGTTCCCTCATCCATATTTATGACTTCTACTCCCACATCTATCCCAAACTGATATGTTTAGCCCTGATCCTCTCATTTGCCTTCTAGTCTCACTTCAACAATTCACCTGATTTCAACACATTCCTCTGCTGGAATACTTGCTAACAATGTACTCAAATATAATCAGTGTTATTACTGAAACATCTTGGAAAGAGAGCTGGGGTTTTATGCTCCTTTCCCCAATATATTGATTTCCCTTCCTAGATTTATTTGCTTCTACCAATGATGCCACCATAATTACGAATTTGCAGTCATTATTGATTTCTGCCTCTCTATAAATCCAGTCTTTCACTGAGTCTACAGTTTTTGCTTCACATTGTGTCTCTTATCTCCTTCCTATGGGTTATAATAGATAAACTCCAATTCAGGCTCTCATCCCTTCATGTTTGCACAACTTTAACGGTTTCTCAGTTTCTCTATCTTCACTCTTTTCTTCTCCAGTCCATCCTGCTCTAGTAATAATTTCTCATCACTACTGGGTTATATCCAAGTGTCTCATCCTGGATTTAAAATTGTTTTTTTTTCGCGGTACGCGGGCCTCTCACCGCTGTGACCTCTCCCGCTGCGGAGCACAGGCTCCGGACGCGCAGGCTCAGCAGCCATGGCTCACGGGCCCAGCCGCTCCGCGGCGTGTGGGATCTTCCTGGACCGGGGCACGAACCCGCGTCCCCTGCATCGGCAGGCGGACCCTCAACCACTGCGCCACCAGGGAAGCCCTAAAATTGTTTTTAATGTGGTTCCACCTCACTAATCCACCTTTACTTTCAACGACCTGTCACACATACCCTCCCACCCTTGTTAGGTCAAGCTCCGCACCTCTCAAGAACACACCATGCTTTTTCCCACCACTGTTCTGCCATACTTACATTATGAGTCACACATAGCCCAGTTACAGGGCTAAAGGAGCTGGACAAAGACCTGCACAAGGAATGATAAATAATTTGGGAGGTAGATTCCCAAATCTATCCAGTACTAGTACTAGAAGGAAGACAAGTGTAACAAGTAGAATAGAGTTTGGGAAATATATGGGAACATAAAATTGGGGGTAGTCTGGGCAAGCAGTTCCTTTCAGAAAGAGCCAAACTTCAAGAGTGGAAATGGACTAGTATATGGATGACAGAGACGAAGGATCCAAGACAGCCATTCTGAGAAACCTAGGTATACAGACAGCACCTGGTGGTAGTAGAGTCCACGCATTCAGGTGAAATGGGATTTCCATCCTGGGAAGAGGAGGTATGATAGGGGCAAGAAAAGTCTCCCATTGTAGAAGAGATGGTTTTCATGCAATTTATCCAGGGCAGGATAAGTCACAAAGGGTAAGACAAGCAGGAATATAGTTACAGGATGGTTCTCTAGAACAAGGCAGAAACTTGTCAAAATGGGGTCACACAATCAAAGCTGATCAGCATCAGTAACATAGTCCTGTGTCTCCAGAAACCCAGGGCTAAGAATATGTGTTCCAGAGCCTGAGAGGGAATCTACCATAGTAAAAAACTTTGGATTTGAATTTCATTCTCCTGCCATCGTGCTCAAGTTCCTTAACTTTTGTGAGGCTTGATTTCTTTATATATAAAAGTGGGGAAAATGATAAATATTTTACAGATTTGGTATGATGATTAAATAAAGTGCCTTCTATGGTATCTATTGTTTAATAATAGGCTCGCTGTCCTCTGTCAGAGCTTCTGAAATCACCCCTGCCCAAGAAAAGGACTGACTCTACTGGTTGAGGTGGTGCTAAGCCTGTGGGTGGGGTGTAGCCATTCCACAGATGGCAGAGAAGATTCCAGAGGCAAGAAATCAGGCAAGGCCGGATGCTGGGATGCCTCCTTTCCCCTCTCCTCTTCCCCCCTCCCCCCATCTCTACCAATCCTGAACATGACTCATTATCAACACAACCCCACATCTTCTGAGAAGCCAATACTGTTCTAGGGATTTCTCTGTTCTTTTAAGCTCCTTTTGAACAGGGATCTTACTACACATAACTGTGTATAGTACTACAGTCCCAGTTTTGACTTCTTTCAAGTAATCCCTAAGGTTCATAGCATTGACATTTGCAATCTTGCAAAGGCATAACTTCCATTCAAGAGTTCTGCAAAGCTGGTTTGAGGTAGTGGGTCACTAGCCAAGTGAGTGAATCCAGAAAATCAGCCCCCATTGCAGTCCAACATACTTTAGATGATATCAAGTTGTTGCTACATGAATATTTTATGGGGGAGTTATATGCTATTATGGAATTTGAGGATTGGGAATTTTCTAAATTCTCTGGATGAATACCTTGATAACATCAATGACCCACAATATAATTTATTGTTTTTTAGTTTCCTCTTGTTCTTTAGCCAGATTTGCTCAGCTAATTTCAAGCCTCTCTATGAATGAGCCGAATTTGTTCTTTCTCTTGGTTCTCCCAAAATTTAGCCCAAAGTTGCCTTCATAATGAGCATTCAACCTGCAGTTGTTGAATTGATTCAATGACTACATCTTGTTACCATTTTAATTTTTGTAATTCTAGATAGTCATTTTCTTCAATTGCCTAGTGACATCTGACATAAACTATGACATTTTCCCTAGCATGAGAAAAAGGGAAGTAAAATACAAAAGAATTGGGTCTAATACTCATTTTTTTTTTAAACAAGAAAAGCACTACAAACCATTTGCAGGGAAATTTTGGCTACACATCATCCTTGTCACCAGTTGGCTTATGAATAATCAGGGTAATTTACATTACCTTCTTCTGTTTACA